AATTTACAATGTAACAATAAAATCACGTCTCTTCCGCTTAAATGCAAAATCCCAACATCGTTATTTTGCTACCACAAACTGTAATTTTTTTTAATTCTTATTTTAGCTCATGTTTATTTTAATGATGGGTCATAATTTTGATCCTTTGAGAATTTGCTGCTGTCCGAACGTAAAAAGTGTTATTTATTTAAATTGCAAAACAGAAGTAGATATAATTTATTAGCACATTTAGAAATTAGACATTAACTACCTACATCATTTTCTCTATGTTTTTGATATAACATTTTAAATACATGTATGTATGTATGTATATATGTATTATATTGAAACAAACGGTTCTTTTATTTTGAATTATGTTACGTCGTTTATTAGACCGGTACATATAAAGGCCAACTAACAATCAAAAAACAGTGAGGTCGTATATACTTTAAGTACGTGCGTCACGTTCTGTCATTTACATAATCACATAACCTTGTAAACGAAAATAAAATTGATTTAAAATCACCAATTTAAATCATATTAATTGTTTTAATGTCTACGGACTATTGCTTCACAAAAACAATACCTTCACTTAATTTAACGTAATGCGTAACTCATTAAAATCCATATTGTCTATATCGTTAAAAATAGGACACCCAATTTTCAATTTGTCGTGGGTTTCTACAACTAAAATCCCCGTTTAAAATATATTGTTATGTCTGTTTCGTCAAAGATAATAACAGGGATAACGGTATGTTTTATACAGAGATTATGGTCCCAGAAACCCAAGGTAACTAACCTTTTTATAGTCTATATATATACATATATAAATCAATTGCTGTTCATTAGTCTCGCTAAATTCGAAAACGGCTGAATGGATTTACCTTATCTTGGTCTTAAAATGTTCGTGTAGGTCTAGGGAAGGTTTAAAAGCTGAGAAAAATTCCCGGGAAAACCCTCTAATAACATCAGTTTTCTTTTTCCCATATAAACGTTTTCTAAATAAAATGTAGAGTCAATTTGAACTTACCTTAATTTTTTTAATTCCACGCAGACGAAGTCGCGGGCGACAGCAAGTAGAAACTAAAAATTACATTTGGTATAACTAATTTCTATTTCCATTCCCAGACAACGCAGGACACGAACAGCTAGTTAATTGTAAACAGCGATAAAACGTCACAGACAGCGGTCAGTGATACAAACAACATACAACCTGTAATGCAATATGGATAATGTTTATATCAATATGTTTCTATTTTTACTACAGAATATCATATTAGCATATCGCCGTTGCTAATTATGACGCACACGTAATATTAAAACCCTTAATTAATCTTCTATATCATATACTTGTTTACTTAATTTTTCTCAATAAATTATCTAAGTTGACAATATATACCTGGATAAGCGAGGGTCATCGTTCGGTCTTTACCTACAAAAGCAAGAAACTAGGGTAAGAGAGAAACCGCTAAGCGAGAAAAGTATTGCAGACTCTTGGGAATCCAAGCTTATTCAGGTTCGTTTATTCTGCACCAAACACAGAATCAACTAATCCATCTTTAGCTTAATGCGCGCCTTAGGGAGTATTTTATCGACATAAAATATTTACAATATTAGCACTAAATGATTACACAAATAAAATGTAGGTATTGTGTGGCCTCCAGACAGACATTAAGTCCACGCGCCGGGTCTGCATTATGCACTAGGCTGCATTTACCTGCAATTTTGTTTCACACCTCGACCGCTGCACAAACAATATAAAAAGTTATAAGATTTATATTTCATGACTTATTTAGCGTCTATGATCACCTCAGCGTTCCCGTTTACTCTCTTCTCTGCTTCGAAAAGAATGTTACATGTGTCCCAATGCCATTAGTTCTTATTGTCTGTGCTCATTTGTGAAAGTAATGTTAACAAAAACATGTTATCGTACTTTGGATATTCGTAGGTACGTCGTTTCAAAACAAGTGCATAAAAATGTGTGCGTGTGCACAATATGTAATTATTATAAACATACAATTATGTTACTTCCTGAGGTTGTATTACAATTCATTCAAAGATTTTTTTTCAATTTAAATTGCGTACTATTATAATTTTTTTGCCTTTAAAATTGCTTGAATTTACGGTTTCAGATAACGTTTCATTTTAACCTAATGCGTTTTGCCATACTTTCATGCTATACTAGTCTTAATAATGTTCCAAGATGCTATCCTAGCTAGACCACTCCATTATAAGATGTACGGCGAGTATGTAATTTAATTTTTTATCTTATTAACCTATGACTGCCGATGACGATTGGAAAAAACGCGTTACAAATTTACCTAAAATATCATTTAAAAATCCCGCACTAACCGCATACCATGTATAAGGAAATTACTATAATGTGAATGTACTGCTCGTCTGGTATTATGATATTACTAGTCGCCCGCGACTCCGCGCGGAATTAAAAAAAAACTTAATTAGTAGCCTATGTGGTGCCTAGGCTATGTTCTGTATTTATGCCAAATTTGCTCCAGAAGGAGATACCTTCAAGTAAACATCCATCTTTTTTTTTACGTTTTATAAGCTAGCGCTTGACCACGATCCCGCCTGGTGTTAGTAGAGATTTGGTCGAAGGATGGTACGCACTAGCTTAGAAAATCCATCTAATCATTTGCAGTTATAATATTAGTAAGATAAAACTGTACATCGTTACATTGAATAATTAAGGAAAGCATTTGATACGAGGTCATTTTTATGACGTCTTTTCAATTATCTTAATGACTCTAATGAACATTTACGTTCATTAACATGCTCAACTTTCACTTACATAATTACACTTCGGCTATCTTACGACAAACAGTCGAGCAAGCCAACAAACGAGCAAACAATTGCAAATAGATGCATGCTATGTTATGCCGCGGAGTTATAATATTTGGGCTATATTTTCCCCCTGCGTCACTATGTCACACTGTATAAACATACAAAATTCTCAGCGTCATACTTCCTTTTTTTATTGTTAACTCGTCGATTGTATATATTTTTTATATATTTATATCTATCTGACTACACAAATTATTATCTATATGAAAAAAATACATTGTTACGACGTCATCGAAATACGTCCGTGGTATTTTGTGCGTTAATGACTTAGGTATAGAAATATCATTAAATGTATTGATTTTATCATTTTTTGATCTAAAGTATTCTACAAGATTGAGTTTTAGACTAAAAGCGTACCTACGTATCTAGAATTTTACGCGGTAAAAACAAATAAATGGCATCTTAAATATATTTATGCATCAAAAAAGTTAAGGACAATTTTGAATTTATTTCATACGTAGAAAGATGGTTTTACCCACATTCAAATTCATAAGACAAATGTGAACACAAATTTGCCAGTCAAGATCTTGTTGTTGCTGTTGCTGCGGACGTCAACAAGAATTCATTTACACATAAAAGAGTTAGGGGAAAAAGTGGTGGCAACATTTGCAATATATTGTTCTACGCAGTTAGAAAAAAAAAAACTTAATCCACGTTATTTAAGAAATGAAAGAAAGCCACGTTCTCTATAGAGTAATTCACTATTGCAAAAATATATCATGTGTAATTAACTAGGTTTGCTTGGAAGTAAACTGAGTACCAAATCTTGAGCCATCAATCACGATTTCCCAAATAAAGCATTTCAATTACATACTCGATCTGAATAAAATTACCTTGTATATTAGACAAAAGAGGGAATAGATTAGCGATGTAACTTAGGCGTTGAATCATATTCTCTTGATATCAAAGATTTAAAGATACTGAATTATTGGAAACGACCAAAACGTATCAGAGGTCTCTATATCTCTTGGTTACCTATCATATTACAGTCAAAACCACAATCGTACCTTATGAATGTGCCCATATTTCTTTAGTTAATAAAAATAAATAGTTAGTAAACAATAAAAATCAATTAATTATTAAGTATTTTGTGAATTAAATAGGAAACATGCGTAAAAATCCGCGTTTTAAAATTAAACCAATAGTTGAAGAAATCAGTTATGAAATTATTTATGAATTAATAACATTAATATCTGTTTCAAAGGTAATCAATGTACAACAATGTACCAACGAGAGATCGTAGGTCAACAAAATTAATTAGTAGACTTTTGCCGGTTAATTTAACTTTCGATTATGAAATGATAGCAATATTTGTAGGCTAACAAATTAAGAGAGCAATGCCCTTGCGCCACTAGCTTACCTTATTAATATCAAAACATGGCTGCCATGTTTCATTTAAGATAAGAAAATATTGAGCGAACATTTAACATGAATTAAAAGATAAATGGTGATAGATGCCACCACTTATTACTGCTTCTTTAATTGGTTAAGCGTATAAAAATCACTGTAGCGGCTGCCGTTTCACTCAGATTTTTTACTCCTGAGCTTTTTCTTGCAACGTTTTGTGACAATTACAAGTCGCAACACCTTAATACCTGTGAAAAAATATTATAACAACACAATATTTTAAAATTTATACAATTTAATTCAATAGTTAGAAACTATTAGAGAGTAGTTTTTTTAAGGCGACCGACCGAGCGACGTAGTAGTTAAGTTTGGAAGAAAAACGGGTGCTAGGAAAACTGCAGTAAGGCAAGCGGGAGGGTTGCGGAGTGCGGGCGCTGTGGCCGACGTCACGAGAAAGCCGAGGTCTCTATATAAGCTGCGCCGACCCTCCCACCGACATCACTCGCAGGCAGCTGACGTTAGTTCACGCACGTCTATCGCTCCCGCGTACATTCGCTTCTACTACGCTCACTTGTGTTCACGCGTTCACCGCACACACTCGTCATGACGGTCACCAGCAAGATGAACAGTGTTTCCCGCCAATCGGTCCTGAGCCGCCTCGGACCTGGGGGATTGCTTTATGCCGCAAATAAAATTATAGCGGTACGTTGTTGTAAAGTGTTGTGTTTGTCTTATCTTTCAACAGTGACCGACGTTTGCAAGTACTCTGTGTTATAGCAATGTGTTTGAACTTGTGGTTTTATTGTCCTCAGGTTGCCTCTGGCAAGGACGAGGACCGCTGGCGCGGCAAAGACGAGGGTGCTCTCTTCAAGCGCTGGAGACGCACGCCCTCGTCGGAGCCGGCCACCGCTGTCCCAGCTCCTGCAACACCGCAGTCGCAACCCTCTGAATTACTCAAGTTTTTAGCTATTGTAAGTATTATAAATTATTTCCATTTTAAATATTTTTTACTGGAGGATTCCTTTAATTAGCTTAACACTATTAAGTTCTTAAATTGTCTAAGTCCTCAGTCTGTCACCAGTGTTTTCCCTATTACTGAGGTTTTAGTTCAAAAGCAACATTTTTGATACAATAAAATACAATTATAAAGCTTGTCCATATTAAATAGTAGTTAACAATAACACACGTTTCCTTGATTTATACATCATTGACCTTGATTTATAAATCTAACCGCCTGAATCAATATATCTCAGCTAATAAAGACTTCTTCATTGTTACAGAATGCATTAGAATTATCTGCTCCGGCTTCGGATGCATTGTTGAAGTCGAGGTCGTCGGAATGGTTCCAGTTGTCGGGACACCCCGGTTCCCTGGCGCCGGCTGGGCCCGGCACCGTATGGAAACGGCGCGCGGCCGGCGACCACCCAACTCACAACCCCGAACGCGACGCTTATGAGGCGCTCGCCGCCTGCCCCTACATGCGCTCCGCTATCCCGCGCTACTATCGCGACCTCGAGTACGGCGGCGAGCACTTCATTGAACTGCAGGACCTTTTGCATGGATTCCGTGACCCACACGTCATGGACATCAAGATGGGCACGCGCACCTTTCTCGAGGATGAGGTCCGCAACGCCCGCGCGCGGCCCGACCTCTACGAGAAAATGGTGCGATTGGATCCAAACGCTCCCACTGAAAGCGAGCATGCTGCGCGCGCAGTCACGAAGTTACGTTACATGCAGTTCAGAGAACAACAGTCCTCATCCGCCGAGCAGGGGTTCAGAATCGAAGCCGTGAAGTTGCCGGGACAGCCACCTCTTACAGACTTGCAGAAAGTCAAGGAACCCAAGCAGCTAGCTGCGACCATAGCGCGATTCCTGGGCGACGAGAAACATGCTCGGCGAGCCATCACCGCGCGCCTACGTGAGATAAGAGACCTCTTCGAGCGCTCTGAGTTCTTCCGCACACATGAGATCGTCGGCAGCAGTATCTTCATAATTTACGACGAAGAGCGAGTGGGTGCCTGGTTGATTGACTTCGCAAAGACAAGACGCGTGCCCGAGGACATCGTGGTCAACCATCGCGCCCCGTGGAAACAAGGAAATCACGAAGAAGGTTTCTTGTTTGGACTCGACAGGCTGATTAACATAATAGAAACCGCCGGGCTATCTGAAAAAGACAGCGAGCCCGAGGTGACACGTTGAACGTGGTGCGAGGGAACCTTGGACTCGCTCCGCGGTCGCTGACCGCTCGGCCCCTGCGCCCACCGCTCTTCCTGCGTCAGAGTAACGCTCGGAGATGTACAGAATATACTGTTTGTGTTTGTGCATATGAAAGATAATGCGATTGTTTCGCTTTATAAAACTGATCTAGTCCTTAATAATTTAAATAAAGTATCATTTTCGTAATTCGTATTTTTTATTTAAAACCGACATAATTTTTTTTACGATTTACTCTTAAAATTAAAAAGGTCATGAAGTCTGCAATGACAGAACAACCAGTCAAAGCTGAATGTTACCAGCTCGTTATGTAGTAAATAATAAAAGATATAAAATAAATTAACATTAACCCGTTAAAATCCGATCACTAATAAACTTTAAAAAGGGTAGATACGTTAATAATTCAAATGTGAACGTACCAAATACCGAGTAATCCCTACCAATAACAATTTACACTTTAACTCAGCGTACTGACTTCAAGCTAGACACTTAATCTAATATAAATACTATCGTTAATTGGAAACAAGTCTGTGAAAAATAATATTAACGAATGCTTATTTCTCTCCTTGCACTGACTAAGGATAGACGAAGCTATGTTTTTTTCTTACTTTCTCTACCTACCTTATGTCTAAAATGTCATAGGAAGGATCAGACAGGTTACTGGAGTTAGGAAATCTTATACAGATCATGCTCTTCTGCGCATAAAGAAATTCTATGTAACTCTTCGAGGTCAGAGACATAATGGGATATCACAATACTACACATACAGGAAAGATTTGTGGTGGGTAGAAAATAAGGCTAACAAATATATAATTAAAATATTCAATTATTACGAACCATAAAATCCGTATAGATCATCAATTTTGTGAATTTAAATGCCTGTTTTAGAACCAGTATCAAGTAGAAGCAAAGAACTTAATTTGTTCTGTAAAATAATTTATGTATTGCATCAAAGATAGACTTTAGGGAGATGTATTCGGCTACGGTTACAAATGCATGAATTAAAAAATTATTTATCGCCCAAGCTCTAAAATATAAAAATTAGCTATGAAAACAAGAAAGATATTTATAACTAATTTATTATGTAAGAATAAAAATTGTTCATCTAAGATACTATTTTTATAATAAAAATTATAATAACACTCGATAGTTATAAAAATAAAACTACGCGTCAAGTAAATAAAAGTAAGCGTTATGCCGTAATTAAAATTGGGAAATAATGTGCTCAAGATCGCCCATTTTTTGGGGTCAAATGTCCAATATATTTTATTTTAGTATGGTTTATATGACAAAAATACTGTAATATATGTTACAACTATAAACATAATACAAAAATGTCGATATTTAAAAAAAAAACATGGAGTTAGTTAACCACAACTGAGTATAGTACAAATATTTTTAACATAAACACATTTTGTGTACATTATTTTAATATTAAATCTAATAATCCTAACGCAATGTCAAAAAAAAATAATAGTTTAAAAAATATTGGGTGAAATCGTTTGTTCTGTCCAGCAGGTGGGCTATTGTGTAATTTTATACTAATGACCTTAGAAAGCCTCAACATAACACAAAGTTGTTTGCCTACTTTACCTCAAAATCGCACGGTTAATGTAAGCGATTATAAACAGATTGATGGGAGGAAAAATTGTTTAGTTTCAAGGAGAGAAGAAATTGTTTAGAGATTCGATTGGAGAAGAAAATGGTTTTTTTTAAACCACAAAAATGATTTCTTCTCCCAAATTTACTCCACATTCATTCAATTACCTTTCATTGATTTTTCTTAGTAAATTTCCAAGAGAAGCATTACTTTACTACAAGTTAAAATACATTTAATTGGTGGTATAATAATGAGAATAAAATGTTTTTGGGAAAACCTTAACATATTTTATATTCAAATTTATTAACTAAATGTCCAATAAAAGATATTTATAATTAATTAAAAATACAAATAAACTTTCATTGTAACTATAATATTTGAGGATTAATCTAAGTTAATGCAGGTCACATTATAAGTTGTTTATAATTATAATAAGCAACATCATTTAAGCTTTAAGGAAATGTCATTAGTACTATCATGAAATCAAAAATAACAGTCAGTATGTAATATTAAAAATTGTCAACCATTGTCAGATTCTTCTTCGCTTTAGTTGTGCGACAGCTGTTCACTTTAGTAGCAAATCGTAAGGAGTTCAAAGTCTCACCGAAACATTCATCAAATTGGTTGATATTGACCAACATAAGTGTTTTAGAATTGCCGCCCAGACTAGGCATCAACAGGTGGGTTAATTTTGAGTTTCTGTATGGAATGTGAGATTGATGTGTTTGTAATGAAAGGATCACTTTAGAGAGTTCAGATAACGATCTATTTATATGTTTTGTTTCATCCATTCTCTGAGTCGTTTTACCACTCTCTGATCCTGCAAGATCAACCAAATTTAAATTACTTGTAAATTTCTCTTTGCGCGTTTCATTGATTGCTGCTATCTTAATTTGTGCAACAGAGTGGGACCTGGAGCTTCGTTCGTTGTTTAATGTGGCAGCTGTTTGTCTGTTACGTTGGGCAAACATCAATAGCCTGATGAAATCGTGAGCGCTCGCAACTTCTTCTTCTTTTAAATTGGATACATAGACATCGGTACCCTTAGAATTAACCATTTTAATGTCATGACTATCTTGTTCTTTATTGGAATCCAGTAAGTCATAGATGACTTCATTGTATATTTCTAAAAAGTTTGCTTTGACAGTTAATTCCCAGCCCATTCTCTTCAAATCTTCCATACAACTGAATATCATATCAATGGACCGAGGTATGATTCCATAGTTTTCCTTACCGCAACTTCCTTCCATTGTGTATGTTTTACCAGAACCAGTTTGGCCATAGGCAAATATACATACATTGTAACCATCCAATGCCGACTGTATCATTGATGACACTTGAGTAAACACATCTTCTTGAGTAGCATGAGGTGTAAAAATACCATCAAATGTGAATGAGTGCTGGGATTTGCCTTTTTTAGCTGAACTTAACAACTCAGTCTTCTCAACTTCAATAGAACAAGCATCTAATACATTTAGACTGAACAGAGGTTTTGATTTCTCTGTTTCAAGAGGAGGCCGTATCCTGCAGTAAACTCGAATATTTCCTTTCAGATCTTGAACAGTATTTCTCAAGATTCTTTGGTCCTTATACATAAGTGCTAGTATATTCTGTAATGCATCCGTCTCTTCTTGCAAGCTTTTATGACGTTGAGATAAATCATTATATTCCTTGTCCAAGTGGTCATATTCCAATGACTTTTGTTTCAAATTATTCGCAACCTCATTTAAAATTTTAATTTTATTTTGAAGTTCTTCATAAGCATGTTTTGTAATATCATAATCAATTTTTAGATTCTGTAGTTCTGAAGTCCTATCTTTCAAATCTTTAATGGTGTTTAGCAATTTTTCTCTTATTATGTCTTTTTCTGTATTTGTACTTTGCAAAGCTTCTTTTACTTTTTCATAGTCTTCAGCTGTCTCTACATGCTTTTCTTTTAAATCACTATATTCTGACTTAAGAACCTTATGTTTCTCTAGTAAATCTTGAAATCTGGCTTTGTAATCATAGGGTGGAATCTTTGGATTTAGATTTGTTTTACTACTAGTTTTAGCAGAAGGTCCAGCAGCTGCCACTGGCACTGAAGCAGCTCTCTTCACTCGGGGAGCTGGCAGTGTTGTAGTCACCCCATTTCTCCCAATAGGTTTAGTGTGATTTAAAATCAAAAGTTTTTTATCTGTATCACTTAGAGTCTTTGCTAAAATTCTGGATGTTGGTCTGCCATTCAAAATGGTGGGTCTGTTTTCTTTTGTAGATATAGGCAATTTTGGAATTTTTGACATCTGTAATAGCATTTAAAATATGAATGACACACTGAAATTATGAGTGCACAGCAAATGATGACAAAAACTTAATTAACAGTAACCCTTTGACACTTGGGAAGAATTTTAATGAAATGATAGTTCTCCTCAGACAATCTAGTCGAAAAGACTGGGAGCTTAGGATAGAACGGAAATACATACATACAGCTATCCCTGCTTACCAGTGGGGCCAGGCAGAAAATACAACTTACGATAAGATATTTTTTTAACATTGTTTATATGCATATATATTCAGCTCGTAACATCGACTTCATGGATAAGTCCATGTTAATGAATGAGTGAACAAATTAGGTAGGAACTAACACTGAATTAAATTTATATTTTCTGAAGAAATGAAATTTTTAGAAGAAATAGCTTCACTTTTGGTAAGCATATAGGACGATCATGCAAATACTTATCATTGCAGTTTACAAATATACAAAACAATAATGCCGTTTTAATAAATAACAACATTCAAAAATATTACATAATATTACATTTTAAATATTGAACAAATTATATGTGCTTCGTTTAATGGCATCTATTAGTATATTTGTATTTGTGCAGTATAATGATAAGTTTAATTCCAGTAAGATCTAACTTAAAAAGATAAGAAAATATACCATACCTTTTTATTTCAAAAGACACAAATAGAGCGTTTTTTAATTCATAAAGCTTTGCTTTGCTGTTTGTCAAGTCAAACGGTCACTTTTCAATTCAATTCAAATTCAAAAAGTTTACGCTTCGTTTGTGTTACCATTATGAAATAATGATATTGCAAAAACTGAACAATTCATCTGTAAAGATAAAAATAGGTTAAAATCGTTTTTATATAATTTTCCATCACAAAATGAAAATGTTATGTTCCGAAGATTTAAATATTTATTCCCTTTATAAGGATTCATGATTATATGAACAAAATAATTTGTTTTTAGATTGTAATCGTATGTTGAACTTTACATTAGTGTTTTGCTCAGGTTTCCGTTAATTATAGAGGAAAAAGCCTAAATTCAATATTTCTGAAATACTATCTAAAATATACAGCAAAATGATGAGACGAATGTATTTCTCTAAGTTTAACAATCAACCCTAGTGCGTTGGTAGTTTTCTTTGCTCTTTGCCAGAAACGTCCGCAGAATACATTTTATTTTCATTGGCAACTTTTTGTGCTGTCAAATTGCCATTGCCATTTTCCTAATCAGTTTCTCACCATTCTGTGTTTGTGGTGCGATACGTGCAATATGGAGCATATTGTTTTGTTAAGTGAATAAATGAGGATTAAGTGAACT